AGCAGGAAGAAGGAACACACTTGTTCCAGAGGGGAGTTGGGACAGCTAATATTAGAGGGGCCCTTCCGTAGCAAGGAATGGGACAGATGTTCTCCAAAACAGTCTGGGACAACATTTAAGAAATAGACGATTTCCCATGGGAACCTGGAGGAATTTAGGCAGATTTACCACCTTGAATATGGATATGAGTCTACCTGCAAGTCTTCCTGCTTTGCATCAACCAGGAAAGGTAGCAAGCAGTGTGTAGCGGTTTCAGTCAGCACCTCTGCTTAAGAAGTGGCCTCTCTGTGGCTGCACATCCTGCTCTTTGTGTCCTCCTTCACTCAGCTACAGCCGCAAATGCTTGTCATAGCTGGGAGGACAGAAGGAAGAAACAGGGTATCAGGATTGCCTCCTGGCAATAATGACGGTTTATGCTGATCGACGTGTGTTTCTTGCTCATCATATATTCAGAAGGAGGAGCACTTCCTGACGTAGTTCTTAATGTAGATGTATATATTCAAACAAAAGTATAGTAGAAGTTAAATTATTGCCGGATATGGAATGTTCTGAATGTTCTGGGGACTTTCAAAAAGAGCAAACATAGTCTGAAATTAAAACTGAGTTTTTTAGTACTGTAAATCAGAAAAAGTAATAGGAAAAATTATGAGAATTGCAGTGTGACAAACCTTTCAAAAGAAGAGATGCAAAAGATTGGAGCAGAGTCTCCCCCTTTGTTGTGAGTTCACCTAAGAGCTGACAGATTTTGAGGAAGCCAACTTGCTTTTAAAAAGGGATCTTTAATATTTGTGAATTATCCCTAAGTGACTATTTAGTACATTTTCCATGTTGGTGTATCAATCAAAGATGTGTTGAAAAAATTTCCAAAAAGTGCTTTGTCTTTGTACAAACAAAACTTTGTTTCAGTATGAAAACTAAAAAAATATTTTCACGGGAATGTTTTAGGACAATTTTTCATTTGTATCCAGCATATTTACATGAATTTCAGTTCTCTGAACTTGTGCTGTTTTCTACAGATTAGCATAATCAGCACACTGAAATACATCCTATTTTTTCTGCGCTTTGATATCAAATGTCTATGTTGCTCTAAACTGTTATAGAGAATTTAATACTGTCATACAAAAGGAAAATTTAAAAAATATTTTTTTAAGGATATTTGGGCAAAGTTGTGGAGTTGTTTTGTTAATTGCCAAGTAAGTGGTTGGTTTATTCATAAATTATATTCCTGAAATGCTTACTGAAACTTACTTCTCGTGGCTTGGCATTCAACCACTTCCCCGTATTCCTTTGGCAGTACTCTTCCAATGAATATAAAGGCCGTCTATGAAAGAGATGCTTTAACTACAAAGACAAGGATCCGCTGTCAAAAAACGTCAGAGATAAATCTACCTTCTTTCCTCCAAAATGGTACATTCCTCCCAGCAGATAGTAGCAGAATTTTAAGATGCTAAAACTGTAGCTTCAAACATCATGCTTGAAGATTTTCTAGCCATTCCCAGTGAACAGAAATTATGTTTGAGGTAAGCGTTTCAGAGGGATGAAGAAGAAACCATCACTGAGTTTCTGTTCTTAGGGAGGAGAACTTGGTTTTATCCTGAGGGAAAGGCGGGCGTCGATGAGCACTGAAATGATACTGTAATAGCTTGCTCTTCCCTTCTCAGCCACCGAGCGGAACAGGATGCTCTCTGTTCTCAGTTCAGGGAGCAAGGAGGCAAATGCCTCAGTTGGTCTCTCTAAAGCTTTTCAAAAAGTAAAATGACTCCTGTATTTTGTTGTGACAATTCTCAAACCATTTATAAAAAGAATGCTCTTTTATGGACGCAAATGGCATTTACTTCCTCTTGTCTCTTCCGTTGAAGTGTTATTGCTGGCACCTGATGGTTCTCTTAGGTGTGTTACTGACTAAATAATGATGCTTTATGTAGTGATGTGTACAAAAGATGTATTCCCTCGCAACTGATTTACTTAATGGGAAAAGGCTTGAAACCCTTTTGTAGGAAATCTGAACTGAAAACACTTCTGATGCATTTCAGCTAGCAATTTATTGAGGTTCTGGAGGCAGGAGTTCTTGTCTAAGGACTGAAAAAAGCAAACTCTTGAAGTAGCCTGGGTTTCCATTTACTGTTGAGAGCATGCAGCATGACACGGAAGGCCCTGTGCAGGAAAGGAAAATAACTTTTAAAAATCTGTATTTACAGCTCTGCTCCCCTGTGCATACAAGTCTTATTTATGGATTGGCACTATAGATACTGAAAACATGAAAGACATTGAGAAAATAAATTACTTCTAACTATTGGTTGTTTATTCTTTTAATAAGTTTCTTCTGAACAACAAAATTAAAGCTAGCTATTATGTTGCTTAACAGCCGGATTCAAGTAGAGTTCCTGCATTATTTTTGGATTACAAATGTTGAAAATGTTAGTCTTCTGAAAATTATTTCAAGAGAGGTTTTGCAGGAACAGTTCTGTAAAATGAATGCTATTTAGATTGAAAATTCAGGTATTGGAGGAGCAATCTTACTCCAAATTCGTGTCAGAAAATACATAGAAAATAACTTTGTAAGTCTTTGGTATTTAAGGAATGTTCTTCTGGTTTATTTGGCTTCTTTATTTTGGAAGAAAGTTTGATATTTTCTCCATTAAAAACAGTTTAAAACTGTTTTTAGAACATTTTAAACTATTCATGCAAACAAGCGAACAGGCATATACTCTTTGGCATGAAGAGTCCCATTCTAAGCACACAGGTAAATGCTCATATTACAGTAGTCACATCAAGCATCTTTTTATTAAACAAAAAAAATCCAAAACTTAGCTTGAACAAGCCAAACTGTTGCTGGATCTTTTTCTGGTGCCCTCCACTACTTCCCTGGGACCATTTTTGTGAAGCAGCACATTCTTGAAGAGGTGAGGCACGGGTAAAGACAAAGTAGGCATTCCATCGTTAAAGTTTCTTTTTCCCTTAATATTGTGTCACAGTAACAATTCCTTTTATGCACGTTATTATTTAGCTCATCCGCTGATAATTGTTCTTACTTAGCAATTCTTAATTTGCTTTTGTTTTACGTGGAAAGCTAGTCAGAATTTTTTCTCTCTCTTTTCTGTTTACTCCAAACTCCAACAGAGTTGCATTTACGTTTTCTTTTTGCAAACATTAATGGTCTAATAATGAAATTCTGAATCCTCTATGCATAAGCTATTGAGAAAACAAACAAAAAACCCTCTCTGAGGGTTTGATTCAAAATAAAATTTTGAATTCAAAATTGATTGATTCAAAATAAAATTAATGGAGCCATATATTTCATTAAGAGACTATTTCAAAACTCAGATATGGTCAAAAGTGCTACCTGACCTCCCGACCCCTTTCCCTCCCCAGCTCGGTGCTAACGATGCACGCTGAAGTCACCTGGAACTATCCTCAGCTTTCCAGCTCTATCCCCCTGTGCTCGTTAGCAGTGCTCCGGGCCATAAATTCAGAAGAAATCACTGGCACTCCTTTAAAATCATGAAACTGGCAGGAATGGATTAGAGAGAATATATGTATTTCCAGCACTAGGGGACCATTGCAGTGAGCAAGCGTTTTTGTAATTTGAAGACGTATTTATATTATTCCCATAACTTTGTTAACAGCAATTGTCATTTCTTTTGCAGTTGTAATCCAATGACTTCCAAGTGCTTGACAGGAAAAATCCATATTTATTTCCAGAAAGAGACTGGCATTCTCAGGCCATACTGGAAGTGCTTTTGCAAGAGACCGTCTCAAAAACATTATCTGGCAGTAGCTAGAATTGCTTGGGGCAGTGTGTAATCTACTACAACCTAACCCCACTGACCTACCACGGCCTTTGTACCACCTGGCTGCACAGGTGGTTGGCAGGCAAAAGGGGTAACCCAGGACTCCCGACTGGGGACCCCCTTTGCAGAACCAGGCTTTGGACCTCACGCAGGGGGTTTTGCTTCTGTGGTGCAACAGGGACAACAGGTACAATTCAGTCTGCCTCCTTGATTGGCGTTTCTTCTTGCTTTATCAGAGTTTGTTTTTTTCCCCGAGTTCAGTGACTGCTACGGTCCTGGGTGCTCGTGCTGAGGTGGATGAGTTGGGTTTGGTATACAGGAGAGGTTTCAGAGTGCGGTGGCAGGAGTTGTTATGAGAAAAAGAAGGGGGTTGGATGTGGCTACAGAAGATCGATTCAGAAATGAGTGTTTAAGCATAAAAAATATTTGCTTTTAAGAATTACTTGTATTAGATGTAGTTATGAGTGGCTGACAAGGCAGGCAGACAAAAGAGCTTTTTTGTGTAAAGTACTAATTGAAGATTAAGATAAAACTAGTTTAACTGTGATTGGGAAGTAACAGCAATGAGATTGCCTGTGGCTGCTGAAGTCTTTTTTTTTCTATTCTACTTTTATTTCTAAAAGGTCATTTTCTTCCTGTTTTATTTCTTCCTCTCTCCCCCAATTCTGAAAGAAGGAGGTGGTCAGAGTTTCTTTTTCGTCCCTGCCCCCATCTCTCATTAAATACTAATTGTTCATTTATTTTTTGCTTTAGGAATCAATATAGGAGAGGGGCACTGGCACC